CTGTCATTGCCAACAAAGAGTATATAACAAAGTTTTGAGATGAATTTGTGTTATTGACTAAATACTTATTTTCCACCATCATTTGCAAATAAATTCTTTAAAAATCAGACAATGTGATTTTCTGGATTTTTTTTTCTCATTTTGTCTCTCATAGTTGAGGTATACCTAGGATTACAGGCCTCTCTCATCTTTTTAAGTGGGAGAACTTGCACAATTGGTGGCTGACTAAATACTTTTTTGCCCCACTGTATATGTATAAAATACATGAAAAAGTGGATCTAGCATAATAGGTGACCTTTAAGTGCAAGTAAACATCTAATTTTTCAGGGAATACTTCATCTACAAAATTACCATTTCTATATCAAACACTTATCCCTTAACGTCAATTCTTGAAAACACATTATTTTTCTCACAGGCCTCCACTGTGATCAAAGAATAAAAAAACGATAAAAACCTTTATGAATTATCCAGTTGTATGCTCACGACTTTCATAGAATATTGTCCGTGGGAGTCTGAATTTGATCAAAAGATGTTTTTATAGAGTTTTGATTTTGCTTCAGTTCGTCAATAACTTTTTCAGTTTTTTATTCTTCGCTCACAGAGTTTTCCTCGAGAATTTAAAGTAACGTGCGGTGAGTAATTTATGTTGAATACAAATGGTCATTTTGTGGGTGAAGTATTCCATTAACAGACTGAAGGCACCCTGTGGAGTTATTGGCCAGTAGCACTGCTGTAGAGCAAATACCAGCCTGGACAAACATAAGGCCGTCAGATTTAAGAGCATTATTCAGCACCCATTGTGATCTCGTTTTTATCTGTCAATGATTTCTGTCCTAGCTTAATCAACAAACGATATGTGACTCCACATGAGAAACTGCACGCAGAAAGAGGGGGCAGGACATTAATGTAAAACACCTAATGTGTGAGAGACAGAGGCCTAACAGGCAATACAAGAAAAAGCTTTTTAGATAGCAAATATTCATTCCTCTCAAGTCTTGAAAAGAAAACACTGTGCTTGTAAAAATAAATATGTATATCCTTCTGTGTGAAACTGGATTCAAAGAAGGTCAAAAACATGTACATAACTTTCCAGGCAGAAGTAAATGAGTCCAACCACCTGAAATGTCACAAATAAAAACCAGTACAACTCGAGTGTAAAACCCTCATCTCTAACCACTCATCCACAGCTGGAGAGAACACCATCTCTGACAGCAGCGTGCCACCAATTAACCGGCAGCGGCGGCTGAAAAGAGCAGCAATGCATGTCATTTTTCTCTGCGCTGCACGGGTTTGACTCTCTGTTAAACCACCGGAAAACAGTTCTCTCCTGTGATGATTCTGACACACCACATGATCAGAGCTGATAGAAGCTTTGCTTGGATCCACTCAGGTAATAAATATCGACATGCAGACCCATAGAGTCAATTGAACAGTCCAGCCGAAAAATTGGTACTTCAAGAAATGTTGCTTTGCAAATGTTATATGAAGAAGGAAATGCCTCAAATGTGTCTTAAGAATGCCCCTGATGGGTTTTGTAGAGAATCACCAAATGTCAACAAACAAACTCCACTTTAATTAAAGGTCATAAAGAAGCTTTTTTTCTCATTTCGAATATATCAGTGTCAATTTTACACTGCAAAACAATCACAAATCCTCAGCTTTAGACATTCAAGACATTCATCTTTCCAATCAAATTGAAGGCCCAGCTCAACTTTATCTCTTCTTTTTAATATATTTTATCATTTTAATTTTGAGTGCTTCTGCAAATCAACTTTATTGCACTTTTGAATGTGGTGATAATACAATCATACAAGGCTCACCGGAGACCTCAGCTCCAGGCTGTGGACGTCCATGGAGACGCCACTCGCCCTCCGCGACAGGCTGTAGTTGATGGTGGGCGTGGCTGCCGTGTGTGTGATGACGGGCAGAGGAGGAGGGGGGGGGTGGAGCTGGGGCATGGAGGCCTTTGGGTTCAGGAGACCATTGGGACTCAACATCATGGCCTGGATCTTGAGCTCTGCACACACACAACCAAAGGAAAACATTTTAGTTAAAGGATCATTTCTGTTTATTAAAACGTATTTTTCACAGTTATTGCTACAAAATTCAGCAACAGAGTTCATGTTTTCTGATTTGTGAATTTGAAAACCTGAGGTGTAGTTTACATGTTGTAATTTAGTGATACACATGATGAAGTTTCCCAATTAAGATACCAATTTATTCAGCATATAGTCATTAAAAATAGGTCTAAGATCAGACCAATGTTTAAATAAAAGCGTAATAAAAAGCACCCTTTGAAAATGTACAATATTTATCTCTGGCTGACACATTTCTGTTAGAAAACAGCTTTTATATCTCCATAGAGAGAGAAACTCTGGGACGTGCAGCAGTTATTAAATGAATAAAGAATTAAAAACATGGAAGGTTTTCAAATTAATAGACAATTTTACAGAATCTCTGGGTTTCATAAAAATGATCTAATAGGGAAAGGTTCTTGGTATTGTTTGCAATACAACTAGTACCATAGGTCAGGCCATAAGTAAACGAGGAAGCGGACTGTAAACGTATTACCCAAAATGTTTACACAGTTTGGGTAAAAAATACTTCAGTTTGAGTATCTTTTCTTTTTAAAACACCCTTTAGTAAAGCTGTTGATTTGTTTAAAAGCTGGATGATCATGCATTTGACGGTCCATGTTTCCATGTCCAGCTCTGAATTAATATAAGAGTTAGTACCTGCAGCGTACATCTCTCTCAACTTCTCCTCATCCTCGTAACAGAGCGACTGCCTCTCGTCATCTGCCTCGGATCTGTTGGCATCACCCTAAACCCACAGAAACACCCACATCACCGGGGATCCCCACTATCATCACAATGTGCATCATCATCTTCATCATTTTCTCACTGTCTGTTGACTGGTATAAAAGTGAAAAAATATGAGAAAGTTGAGAGGGACAGACTGAGAAACAAAGAGCGGGAGGCAGACGGGCGAAGGGGATCTCCAGTGTTCTCTAGTTGAGTTATGTGCATGGCTTTGGCAGCGATCTCCTGAAGTCACGCCAATAAAGCTTTACTGAATTTAATTAAAATTCACGCCAGAAATATGGAGGCAGACGGCTTTGGCAAAGGGTATCTGTGTGTGTGTGTGTGTGTGTGTGTGTGTGTGTGTGTGTGTGTGTGTGTGTGTGTGTGTGTGTGTGTGTGTGTGTGTGTGTGTGTGTGTGTGTGTGTGTGTGTTTATGATAGAGCTAGAGAGCGCAAGCAAGTGCTCTCTGATGCTGGAGATAAAAGATGAAAACTAAACAACAAAAGCTCACCAGCTGTGAATGGCAGGCGAAATCAAACACATCCTACCCTGGAGAAAATGGTGTGTGTGCGTGCGTGCGTGCGTGCGTGCGTGCGTGCGTGTGTGCGTGTGTGTGTGTGTGTGTCAGTGAGAAAGAAAGATAGAGAGAAAGAAAGAAAGACAAGGGAATGAAAAGAGAAAAAGAGAGAGAGAGGGGAAGAGAGGACAACTGTGCAAGAACAGGAAAACAACGGATAAAGAGAGAAAGGGGGAGAAGCCACACAGGCAGGATGCTGGAGATTATGCTCTCGTAGGCAGCTTTGGTATCATCAGTACAACAGAGCTCAATTAGTCCCGTTCTCGCTGCCTCGTTCTCTGGGTAGCTCAAATGAAACTGCATCTTTGCCCCTTACCTCAGCCTGAAAGCCCTCCACCAAAATGGCTACAAGCAAGTTGAAGAGGACATAGTTGCCGAAGGTCATGAGGGCTACAAAGTAGAGGGCGGCCAACGGCGTGGTTGAGGCCATCCCATTATAGAGCACCGCGTTCCAGTCCTCCTGAGTGAGGATCTGCAGAGGGGAAGAGATAAAAGACAAACACTGTCAAACAGAACAGACCAGATATCAACTGTAGTAGCTGTTTGTAAGTATAATAGGAGTCATAATACAAGAGGGTTCTTCCTTTAATATCTCATAGTCAGTTGAACGTTAATGATGCTCATCAGTGGTAAATGAGTTCCTGTGGAGTGCTTGATTCATTACTCTTCCTCCTACTCTGCTTGTGAAGTGTATCTCACCTGCCCACTGGGAGAGTTTTTATATTTTGTTGGAAAGTCGAGAGTGAGCACTCTCAAATTGGAGCACATGAATAAATGGGGAATATCGTCAGGTCTCCTACGGGTGACGGCGGCTTCTGCTGTTTGATTTCCTCCCAATTAGTTTTAAAATCGCACTTTAAGCTGTTTATTTAATAGGGAATTTCCTCAACATTAAATATTTTTGTAAGTGTATTTATGAACTCTTCTGGTGTGTCTGTATCTGAGGGGAATAGTGCATGTCGGTGTCTTTGTCTAACCTGAAACACAGTGACAGTCGCCCAGAGCAGAGAGTCAAAGTTTTTTCTGTCAGGTAAGGTGTCTCCAGTGTCTTGTTGCAAACCGAATTTGCAGCCGAACAAATGCATTCCCAAGATACTGCAACACACAAACAGACACAAAACAATCAGAAAATACATTACTTTCATTACATAGTAATTTATTATGGATATGTAATACTGCCTGCGTGGGTAATTGTGTTTGTGGAAAGGGTGATGATGCATGTGGTAATATGTTTAGCAACAGTGTAAGAAAAAGGTCAGAAATAATGATTGCAATTTTCCGAAAGGTATAATTGAAGCTGAGAAAAGAGCGGTTTGCAAGGTGAGACTCAGCCTGCAGTATGGCCTTGAGAGAAAGGAAGACAAATACCTGAATATGAATATAAAGAGCATCAGCAACATGCAGAATGTGGCCACATTGTCCATGGTCTTCACCAGCACCACCAGCTGCCTCCTCAGAGCAGGAAGGAAGCGGACCAGCTTCAAAACCCTCAGCAGTCTGAAGGTACGAAGCACCGACAAGCCTCCCTCTGCCTCACCCATAATCTCCCACACACTGCAACACACACAAGCAGCATTATAAACACAAAGTTAGATTTAAATTTAAGCAAACAAAGGAATCAATATGTTCTTAACCACAGCTGAAACTCCATTTAAATCAGCATTAGCATCAAAGCGAGGAAAATGCTAAGTCATTTTTTTTGTGGCTATGTGGCAACTGAAAAGAGGAAATGGGCCAATGCTGTTTACAGCTTACCAGACAATAAAGGAGGGGATACCGTTGTGCGCTGGTAAATTAAACAAGCAAAGCCCTTCCAGCTCAGATACATAATTTAGCTTGTAGTTCTTCATAATGGAGTGAATACAGGTCCCTTGGACTTCAGAGTGCAGCCACAGTGCTTCACTGCAGAGCCACTGTGACAGCTCGGGACTCTGACTCGCAGGGAGGATTTTCAAACGAAAAAACCAATATCCACTTACAGAATATCCATTTTGGGGTTAACTTACAGTGAAAGACCCCTCCCTCCCTCTAGAGCCCCACCTGATGATGACAATGACGCTGTCGAAGCCGTTGTAGGGGTTCTTGATGTAGCCAAAGAGCCCGAGAGCTGCCAGCTTCAGTAGCATTTCAAGACTGAACAGACTGGTGAACACCATGTTACTGATCTCCAAAATATCTGTCAGCTCCTTCGGCTGAAGAGGCGCAGTGTTTGTGGAGAGAAAACAGAGAGAGATTGATGTACATATTGGACAGGCAGAGAGAAAAATGAACAAATAAACAGAGACAGACAGACTGGCAGTGAGGAGAGTAAACATGTTTCTGAAATGCCCCTCAAGGCTGCAGTTTAGCTTTAAATGGATGATGAAGTTGCAGATATGGAGAGCACAGCTGCTCCAGGATGTGAATACAGGTGTGCTTTTACCGACTATCCTCTGGAGTAGATTGAGGGAATACACTTTGTATTATTGATGTCATTCATATTACTTAAAGCTGTGGTTCTCAATTTGCAGGGCGGGGCCACTCTTGGGTCTGTAGAGGTATCACAGGAGGGAAACACATGACTGGAAGGAAAAGTTGGAGCTGAATTCATTTGATTCTAGTCAAAAAGGAGTGTAAAGCAAGGCTATCAATATTGATTCAGACTGCAAAACACTGTGCATATTAAAAATGATCTTACTCTCAGGTTCACTGTAGAATAACTGAGTGTTTTGTTCAGTCCAAGTCTATGTTTAAGTAGTTATTTTCATGAATCCAAAAGTAGTTCATGTACATTTTAGATAATTATTTTCAAATATGTTTTGTCAGTAATTTTCACACTATTTTTGGTTTGAAGAAACAATTGTTTGCAGGGCGATAGGGGCATTAAAGGCTTTCTGATTGTAAACAGGGGCAATACAGAAGCAGTTTGAGAACCACAGATTTTAAGTTTTATTCTTTAACTTTTCAACAAATCTAAAAATAAAAAACTCTATAGTCCACATATATCACATGCCATCATGCCATGGAGATCTTGTTGAATAAAAACGATGGTATTGAAACATAAGCCATGTACCGTGGCATGAAGTGGCATTTCTTCATTACAGTAGATATACAAACATTGTGGTTTATTTCTCCCAGCTTGAAAAACAAACGCAGCAGTGTAAACAAGAAGATGTGTCTCTGAGCATGCTCGTGACATTTGCCTGTCAAAGAGCTACTTTCCGGCGATTCAAAAAACATGAACACACTAGGCGCGTTCACACCAAGTACTTTTTCCCACAAAGGTTCCTGAGAACTCTTTAGTTCTCATTAACTAAGTACAGATCGCGTTCACAACGGACATTAGTTCCTGGGGGTGGGGTGGATTAGGCAAATGAAGCCGCTGACGTCACTTCTTCTTCTTCTGCTTTGGGTTTACTGGCAGGCCGCAAACAACTTCACGGCGTATACTGCCGCCCAAAATCCCCGGCCGGAAGTCCCCGGAGTTAGGGACTGGCTTCAGTAGAAGCTGCTGGGACTCCCAGCAGCTTCTACTGAAGCCTTCCGAGTAAACGGCCAGAACGCCGACACCTCCTCATCTCCACCGCTACCATGTTTTATTTTGTGTTGTCATAAATTAGTCTCTCTGCGTTTCTGCGCTGGGCTAATAATAATGCAATGCGAGGATAATAAAATGGCGGCTTCACAAAAGTTTTTGGGAGTTTGACGGGGCTTGGTTTGCATTCCGCCCAGCCAATCAGACACAGGAAACTTTTTCTCCCACGAAAGTCCCTGCTCTCTAGCAGGGACTGAAAAGGGGGGTAAAAAAGGTTTCTCTAGAACTCTCTTCTCTAGAATTCTCCTAGTTCCTGGGACTTTTTGGTGTGAACGCAACTAAATCGTAGTTCTCAGGAACCTTTGTGGGAAAGTACTTGGTGTGAACGCGCTTACTGTTCACGTTCCCTGAAATGAAGAAGGGCAATCCAACTAAATTGTATGGCTCTATTTGTATAAAAAATATGTTGAGATGACAATCGAATTCTATGGCACAGAGAAAAAATGGTACCAGGCCTGTTCTTCTTTCCTTTATTCAATCATACAGTTCACTCTTGGTTTTGGTCTCTTCAAAAGACCGGCTCATTTAAAAAGGATAAAAATTAGAGTTGGTCTTATCCTTAAATGTTAGATATTCAAGAAGTCAAGGCCATCCAAGTCTATCATATTGTTCAGGAAATGGGCCAAAGGCAATCTTCCCCCGTCTCCACCGTCTCTCTCTGCCTTTCAGCCAATCACAAATGTCAGATCTGGCTCTCCTCCTCCTCCTCACTTCTTCACTCGCTCACACTGGTTTTCTCACTCTGCCCCGTCTCCACACCGCTCACTCTCTCCTGTCCCAGGGTCACGCTTTAATTAACACTTCAGGTCTTATGAGTTTCTCCACCTTTCTGATACATGCGTGCTCAGCCCACACAAAAGTACACAACACACACACACACACACACACACACACGCACACACACACACACACACACACACCACACACAACACACACCACACACACACACACACACACACACACACACACACACACGCTTGGTGGTCCCATATGCTTGGTGTTGTATGTTTTGATTGGAGGGTTGGGTTATTGACTTCACAGTGATTAAGCACATCAATTTTCAATCAACTGTACCACATCCAATCTGCCAAGTGTTCCACACATAGCATGCCATGTACACACGTGCAGCTCTTACCATCACTCTTACATACCTGTCGTGGTACTCTATGCCCATCGACAGTGTGTTAATGAGGATGGCAATCATGATCCCTCTGCCTGAAGTATCTGCTGGAAACGATGAGTTCACAGTTTTGATTGGAGTCCGCCCAGCAGCGCTTGTACAGCCTTTTCTTCGGCTCCGACACCTGAGCATCGAGTGCGGCCGGGGGGGGCTGCTACAGTGGCATGGCGCTGTACCTTCTGAACGGCTGTTGCCATGGCATGACTTGCTGTACCCATGATTCTGATCTTCAGATGCTCATTAAATTTTCACTATCACTCAGTTGGTTGTAGTACGAGCCAGTACGGG